CCCGGGATACCCTTCAGTTCCACCGCTTTGTCTTTAGGTCCAGGAGTCTTCTGAGGTCCGGAGGAGCTCGCAGCTTCTCTTTTCCTCTTAGGCTGCTGGTCCTTCTGAGCGGGAGGATCTTTCTTGGTCCGAGGGGGCGCTTTCTCTGCTGCCATCCCTTGGTACCTCTCATGTGTGTGCCCTAACTCTCTTAGAGCAGCTATCCGTTCCATAAGGGACTTTGGCTTGGGATTGAAAAGAGCCCAACTCATGCCTAGGTCCGCAAGGAGGGAATTGTTGATTTTATCATCCACCAACTGACCCTCATAGCCAGTCTTCCACATCAGCTGAATGATAGAATTCAGAAAGAGGTCTATTCCTCCTCGAGCTGTGTGGGTAAGAGTATTCCATTGGGCTACAGCATCATCTCGAGAGATGGCTTCACCGAAGGCTGCTCTAAAAGCATCCACAAAGGAATCCCAGCGCTTCCATCTCAGATCCAAAGTCACCGGCATTCCAGCAAGGCGGTTGGCAGAGGCTTGATCAATTGAATTGTGGTATGCCTCATACCATCGGATTGCTGCCTCGCCTTCCATCAGATTGCCTGCATATCGGATCTTAACCTCCTCAGAGGTAAAGGACAGGCTCTCAATGGAGAACACATTCTCACATTGCCGGATAAAGGTTTCCACTTGCTCCGCCTTGCCCTGAAACTTAGAGGGTGGTGGTGCCTTTGGTTCTCGAGCTCTGGTGGAAGTAGAAGGGTGGGAGGTGGTCGGAGGTTGATACTGCTGGGACATCATTGCCAACAGATTCTTCTGTTGCTTCTCCAACTTCTTCTTAAGGTATCTCCGCCAATCTCTTCTGTTACCACCTTCTGGTTCCGAGTCTGAGCTGTCAGAATTATCCGGATCTCCTGGAGCGGGAGCGCGGGCTGCTGGAGGTGGAGGGTTCTGATTTCCGCCACTTCCTCCCTGTGCCTGAGCTGGAGGGGGAGCGGCGGCCGCAGCAGGAGGGGCCACAGGTGCTACGGGTGCCGGGTTGCTGGCCAGTGGTGAGGTTGCTGCTGGTTGAGCAGCCCCAGACATGGTAAACCTTCCTGGGTTCCTGGCTAGCGGACTAGGAGGTCCTCGGCCTGCACCTGAGAAGAACTCTCCTTCATAGTCAAAGGATCGGTCGGCTCCTCCAAGGAGTGGATGTGTTCCACCGAAGCGGCTAGGTGGTAAGGGTGAAGCCCCCACCGCTGGCTGCACAATAGGGATAACTCTCCTAGTGGATCGGACCGGAAATGCTGCAAAGGGGCTGGTCTTCCGCTGCATTGTCCTGGTAGCTGCTCTGGAAGAGGACCTGGAGACTAAAAGTGGTGCCGGAGTTGCTGGTCTACCCACCACCAACCTTCCTTCATCAAGAGCTCTCTGTATCTCGGCAACAAAGTCTGGTGGAGTGGCCGGATTTGTCCACTCAATCTCCATGGCATCAACATCGGCATTCAGTTCATCTCTTTCTGCATACTTCCGGAGCTCTTCCTGAACAGAGTTGACTTCCGACCTCATGTACTCTAGAGCTTCTGCCATCAGAGCATTCTGTGCTGCCTGGCGCTCTTGTACAATGAGCAGTGCCTGACTGCCTCGGTTCAACTGACTCTGCAGGCTGTGCTGGAGGTAGGTCTGAAGCTCTGTGAAGAACTGTTGTAAGGAAACCTCATCGGTATCCTGCCAGGCAGGCTCACAGCCGGGAATATAGGCCTGTAGAGCGGTCCTGGGTTTCTTAACAAGCTGTGTCTGCCCGGTGGCATCAAGCTGGAGGGGCACCGGCTGCCATTCAATCTGAAGGGGTGCATCTGGAGCCGAGAGGGCGGACATTTTGTGTAGAGGAGGAATAATCTGAAGGTGACTTGAGCCTTAAAGATTATCTGTAACGGGGGTCCTTTCTAAGAGAAATAGATTTGTATAGAATAGAGACGGCCGTGCAAGATAGACAATCAGGTTGCAGATTATTCAAAGATACTATCGCTAGAACTCAATAATCTTTAAGGGCTCTGCTACCGATAAGAACTTGGTTTTTTCTTTTTGATGAAGACTCGAGAGAATAGGACTGAAGGGCGAGAATGAACCTGAGTACTTATACTCCGAAGGCCTCTATTCTCTGCTCCTAACTCCTTACTAAGTTCCGGTGGGCCTTCCCTCAGTACCGGAAACAATACCACCACTACCCCGCTTTTCTCTAAGCGTCAGCAGGTGTTTCCGATATCCAAGGCAACCACCCTTAGTCAAAGCCTTTGTAACACCCGCAGCCTTGGTTGCCACACAACCGAGGACCTGCATAAATGAGCTGCCGCTCAGGTGTAAGCTTAATCATTGCTGTAGAGCTTTTGCTTATTGTAGACTTCCCTAGCATAGTCCCTACCTCCTCGGCGGAACTACAGTGCTCAGAGGATATAGAGGATCACCGGACAATCAGAGCTTCACTCTGGCCGGTCTTCTAGTCACTGGCGAGGCATAGACTCGTCAGTCATTGCTCCCATGAATAGATCCTCTTCCTAGCGCCCGGAATGTAGTTACTCTAACAGCTGGTAGCTAACCACACTGCCGGTACTTGCATATCACCGTGCAACTGGCTTCTAACAATAACTCTCAGCATGTAATCGGGTCCTGTGTGTACTCATACACCAGACAGTTGAAATGGCTCCGTTAAACTTAGCCCAGGGACGGTTTAAGGATTTTTCTAGGATGTGTATTTCTGGTTTTTCGGTATCAGAGGAGGAAATGGATGGAAATCAACTTGTAGTAACTTGTTCGATTTCACAGAATAAAAATTCGTTTATACCTACCTACGCCCTTATTGATACCGGAGCATCAGGATATGCTTTCATTGATGAATCTTTTGCACGCCACAATAATCTTATGATGACCCCTCTTAAAATACCTCGCCATGTAGACGTTTAAGACGGAAGACCTATTAAGTCAGGGAAAATTACCCATATTGTCGATGTCTCACTAGACATTCACGGCCATCAGGAGACGGCGCCATGTTTTGTAACGAAGTTGGGACACTATCCAATTGTGATGGGGATACCTTGGATGCGACGACATGATGTTACGATTCGACCGAAAGAAAATCTACTTGTTTTTGACTTTCGAAGCTGTTGTCAACACTGTTCACTCAGTGGAACTACAGTTATTGTTCATGGTATCTCGATTCCCTTACCGGAACACCATACAATCATTGTTTCAGCAACTGAGAAATCCACTGTCGACATTGAACAATTAGTACCGAAAGAATTTCACCATCGTCTCCATATGTTCAAAGAATACGATGCTTCAATTCTCCCACCACATCGACCATCCCATGACATCGAGATAGTATTGGAGGAAGGCAAACGACCACCATATGGACCTATATATGGATTATCTCAAATTGAGTTAAAAGCACTATGAGAATATCTTGATGAAAATTTACCCAAAGGATTTATTCGAGCCAGTGAATCACCAGCGGGAGCACCCATACTATTTGTGAAGAAAAGCGATGGAACCCTTCGACTCTGTGTTGACTATCGAGGCCTCAATGCGATTACAATCAAAAATCGATATCCATTACCATTGTTGAAAGAAACCTTGGCTAAATTATCAAGGGCACAATACTATACTAAGTTGGATTTACGATGGGGATATAATCAAATCAGGATAGCAGAAGGAGACGAATGGAAAACGGCGTTCCGGACTCGATATGGACATTTCGAATATACAGTAATGCCGTTTGGATTAGCTAATGCTCCTGCCACATTTCAGCATTGGATTAATGATATTCTACGTCCCTACCTCGATCAATTCGTAACGGCATACTTAGACGATATCCTTATCTATTCCGAGACCCTATCAGAACACAAAGAACACATTCAAAGGGTTCTAAAGGTACTTGATGAAAATCATGTTCACCTTAAACCAGAAAAATGTGAATTTATGGTTCAAGAAACAAAATACCTTGTGTTACGGGCATGCCAAGCATTTACGGGAGTGAGAGAAAGGCTAGTAGATACCCCAACCCTCTTTGATACTAATGGCAACACCACTATCAACTCCGGTTCGCACCCACGAGGTGTGGTGCGATCGATATGCGACCAAATGCGGAGTTGCGGTTTTCCTAGTTAAAAAACACGTTTTCGACCCCAATAATAACCCCCGGAGCGTCAAACCGCCGGAGGGGTGTGTTTTGGTACCGGTGGATATATGAGGGACAGCTGGAATCAATCGGATCGAAGATCGGACCGCTCGGAGAGAATCGGCGCAAGCTGCCAGCCGACCGAGTACCTATCGGCGGTACCTATGGGCATGAGAGGACTCTGCTATGTGGGAAAGCGATGTGGGAAGAGGCCTGAGTAGGTAGCCTTGCCGTCCGAGACCTCCGAATAGCCGACGCTGACGATTATCCACCAGACGGCCGATGGAGAAGAAATATCGACAGGGAAACGTGCATTAGAGTGGATAAATAGGTTGAGGGGTTCTAGCGGATTTAGGAGTTTGGGTTACGGACTTAGGAGTTAAATGTTCTTGGTTGTTTTTCAGGGTCTCGGGCATGCCCCGAGTGTATTCTGTATTATTAGTAGACTGGGTCCTCGAGACATAAGCGAGGGATATAAATACTGTGTCATTCACTGACTAGCCAAACCATCATCGGCGAAATCAGAGTCTTAACAATATAAATCGTTGATACGCGAGTTACAACTTTATTTGACTATACTTTTGGAAATACTTTATTCTATTGTGACTTCGAACTCTACCTGAACTATTACGTCGAAGACGGTCGAACATCACACGCTAACTCTAGTGAATCTTTGTTGATAACGTAGCTCGCGGGGCCCGTATCGGATCAAGGAGAATCATACTCGACGTTGACTGAAGAGACCTTGGAGACTTCTACCTTTGTAGCTGTTAGCCGAACTCTGAGCTCTGCGTAGTGTACTCTTGTGGTCTGGTACGCATCCCTCACACCTTGGTCTAATCCTTACTTCGAATGGGAATAGAATGGACCCAAAGAAAGTCGTCGATGTTTTAGAATGGACCACACCGATAAACCTTCGTGATGTTCAAGTATTTCTGGGATTTGCAAATTTCTATCGACGATTTATTCTAGGATATTCGAAAATTGTTGCTCCGCTTACAGCTTTGACAAAGAAAAACGTTAAATTTGAATGGACGGATGAAAGGGAGGAAGCATTTCAAACTTTGAAAAAGATGTTTATAACGGCACCGATATTAGCTCATTTCAATCCGGATCGAAAAATTGTGATAGAAACCGATGCATCCGACTATGTTTCAGCAGGAATCCTATCTCAACGTGACAACGAAGGAATCCTACATCCAGTCGCTTTCTTCTCTAAGAAACACACTCCTGCAGAGTGCAACTACGAAATCTATGATAAAGAACTTTTAGCAATTATACGATGCTTCGAAGAATGGCGACATCACCTAGAGGGAGCTCAATTTCCAATTGAAGTTCTTAGCGATCATCGAAATCTTGAATATTTTATGACAACAAAATTGTTAAATCGTCGACAAGCCCGTTGGTCCGAATTTCTTTCACGCTTTGATTTCGTTATACAATTTCGGCCAGGAAAACAAGGAACAAAACCAGACGCATTGACTAGAAGGTCAGGTGACCTACCTAAAGAGGGGGATGAACGGTTGACGCATCAGAGTCAAGTGATTTTGAAGCGAAAAAATTTGGATATTAAGCTAAGTTTGTTCGCGGGTTCTTTGTCAAATGAATCCGCTGAAGGAGCGTCTACTGTAGAGAAATTATTTTCAAAAGCTTACCAAGTCGATAGTTTTCCAAATAAGGTCCTCAACATGCTTCGGAATGGCATACGCCACTCAAACAAAATCTCGCTTGCCGAATGTACGGAAGATAACAACGGTCGGCTGCTTTATCGAGGCATGCTATATGTACCAGACGACGATGACCTTCGACTAAGGCTTTTAAAAGAATACCATGATAAACCATCTGCAGGACATCCGGGTAGAGCGAAGACTCTGGACCTCCTAAGTCGAGAATATTACTGGCCACAGATGCGGAAATTCGTCGATCAGTATATTAGGAATTGCAATGTGTGCACCCGTAGTAAGGCATCACACAATGCACCTTATGGAGTACTTCGCCCCATGCCAATTCCCGATGGACCCTGGACAGACGTCTCGATGGATTTTGTGACTGATCTTCCTGAGAGTGATGGGTATAATGCGATTTTGGTCGTGGTGGATAGACTAACCAAAATGCGACATCTAATACCAACGACCAAAGAGGCAGATTCAAAGGAAGTAGCGAACCTATATATCGATCATGTTTGGAAGCTGCATGGACTACCAGATACCATTGTATCTGATCGAGGAACACAGTTCGTTGCAGAATTCTGGAAGTCGCTTTGTAATCGGTTGGAAATATCACCAAAATTCTCTACTGCATTTCACCCCCAAACAGATGGACAAACGGAAAGAATCCATGCCGTAATGGAACAGTACCTCCGAAGTTATGTTTCCTACTAACAAGATGATTGGGCTCGAATGCTACCAATGGCCGAATTTGCGACAAACAACCATGCTTCCGAAACAACAAAGGTCTCCCCATTCTATGCCAATTCGGGAAGAAATCCAAGAATGACTTTTGGCCCTTTGGAACATGGTCGAACAACGGCTGAGGATCAAGCGAACCATATTGCAAGAGAAATGAAGGATGTAGTAGATTTCCTAAAAGAAGAGATGTTTCGAGCGCAAAGGATACAAGAAGAATCAGCCAACAGGAATCGAACTCCAGCTCCTCGTTACCATTTAGGAGATAAAGTTTTCCTATCAACTCGTCATATTCTAACCAAACGACCTTCCAAGAAATTCGATTGGAAACATATTGGACCTTATAGTGTTAAGCGCATTGTTAATCCCTATGCTTACGAGTTGGAACTTCCGCGGTCAATGAAAATTCATCCGGTATTCCATGTTTCGTTATTGTCGCCCGCACCCAATGATCCCTTGCCCGGTCAGAAACAACTACCTCCACCCCCGGTTGAAATCGAAGGACAGGAGGAGTGGGAGGTTAAAGATATTTTGGATTCGAGGAAGCGCCGGGGGAGATTCGAATATCTAGTGAAGTATGTCGGTTATGATGAAGCTTCTTGGCAACCATTGTCGGACGTCGAACATTCGCCCGATATTGTTAAACGATTCCACGAACGTTACCCACGAAAGCCTAAGCCTACCAGGAGGTAGGTTTTAGAGGGGGGAGTGGTCTGTAATGGCAGCTATACGTTTCGGTTATGCGGGGTGTCAGAGTATGTGATGGAAGAATTGTGTAGTGTGTGTGGGATTTGTTAAGCGAGTTTCTATTATGTTCTTTCTGTTTCTGTTAAGCGAGAAGATGAGTCATTGTGGGTTGAGGTTTGGATATATAAAGGGGTGTTGTTTCGGCTTTCTTCTGTTTTCTTTCCTTTCCTTTTTTCTTTACGCAACCTCTGTATTTATTCCACGAATACTATTCTTGTCTGTACTACGTCATAGGGCTCTAATCGGTTTATCATACCAGGTAGAGCCACCCATAGCCCATAGTCAAAGCATACCTTTACGTCTACGTCCACGTCTACGTTGCTACCTAGGTTGTATTCCTTGGCACTACAGTCTATCGCCTACGGTCCCCGTGATATCGGTGCAGAGTATTCTAGTTCCGTACTTTCTTGAGCGATATGTCAGGAGATGTTCTAAGGGGGGTAGGCCTGCTTCTCGGAGGAGTTTAGCTCTCTTGGTCCATCGAGGTAAGCCTGTGATGACCCGGGCAGCTTCATTGTATAGTGGTTCGAGGGATCTAGTAATGTGGTCTGCACCAGTCCACCAAGCCTCGGATCCGTAGAGCAGACTTGGAAGGAAGCCTTGCGTTATTAGGTGATGAACTGTCTTGACTGTTATACCTGGCAGGCGGGCAGTGTTTCGGATTTGGTGGAGGGCTTTCTGGCCTTTTGCGATCGCTGCTTCGATATGGGGCCGGAAGGAGAGGGTCGGATCTATCCAGACTCCTATATATTTCAGCCGCTCCTTGGGGTATATATTGATGTTGTTAACTTTGACTGGAAGTCGTGGTTGTTGTGTGGATGATGTGGTGGGCCGGAAGAAGATCAGATCGGATTTATCCGGGTCATATTTGATTTGGAGTGGCTCAGCCTTGGTCAGTCTTTCTCTCATTCGTTCCTCCATTCTCTTGATTGTGAAGCCTGGTGTTTTGGATATCTGCACCAGCGCATCGTCATCGATGTAAGTTATGTCCATCTCTTTTGGGCTGCTAGTTGGGTCCAGGATTACTCCGGCATAGATCATAAATAGTACCGGGGACATGGGGCTGCCTTGCGGCACTCCAGAATCATAGGGCTGTGGTTCTTCTAGCTCATGGTTAAATTGGAACTGTAGTTTTCTGCCGGTGTTGAATTCCTTGCACCATTCTGTCAGATAGGTAGGGAATTTTTGTTGGTGCATGATTTCCGCGAGGAGTAGGTGATCGACACAATTGAATGCTCCTTGGATGTCGTTGGTTAGGATCGCTGGTCTGTCTCGCCGGGCGATTCCGGTACTGTTTTTCAGAAGTAGGTTTTGTTGAATTGGTGTTAGGGTTTTCAGGAGGGCGTCGATTGCCGAGATGGTTGGTCTTCCTCCGAACTGGTTCACTGAGAGTGTGCCCAGGATTTCTCCAGCGGTGCAGAGTCTTTGGGCCACTATCTTTTCCAGGATTTTGCTGAAACATTGTAGAAGGGAAATGGGCCGGTAGGCTTTCGCTTCATGATAGTTTGCTTTACCGGGTTTCGGGATCGGGATACACTTAGCTATTTTCCATTCCGCTGGGTGTACACCGTGCCGGAGCATGGCGGAGAACATGTCTTGAATTAGAGTTGTGTTTGCTTTGACTATTGCTTTAATAAAGGTATAAGGGATGCCATCTGGGCCGGTCGCCGAGTGCGCTGGGCAGGAGTCGATTGCTTTATTAAGTTCTTCGGGGGTGACTATGTCGAAGGTGTTGCTAAGGTCAAAAGAGGGGGGTCTAATGTTCAGGGGGGGATGGTCGGGGGACGTCCGTTTCGAGGGGAAAAGTTGGGCTCTTAAAGCTTGACACTTCCCCGCAAACGTTTCTTCACCTTGTATGGTTGGTATGATTGTGTCTCGTCTCCTTCCTGCGTTTAGGATTCTCCAGACTTCACTACCTTTCGCCTCGTTCATCGTCTTTTCCCGCTGGTCCGCTTTTGCTTTCCGGATCATGACTGTCCATTCTCTGCAAGCCTTCCGGTGTTCCTCCACGTGACTGGGTTTCCTTGTGTTTCTCGCCTTCCTTTCTGCTGCGTTTACCCTTGCCTTCATTTGTTTCATTTCATCTGACCACCAGGAGTTGGCTCTTACCCCCTCCTTCGAGAGTGGTGTTACTATGCTGACTGTTGACCTGACCAGTTCTAGGAAGAAATCGACAGTTTGTTCCGTATGTTCCTTGGTTTCCCATGCCTCTGCAGGGATGGAAATGTTTGACATGTGGTTTTCCAATAGCTTCCAGTCTGTTTGTCGCCACATTCGTCTTGGTACAAAAGGTGGTTTTTCCAGGTGTAAGTGAACGGAGGTTCTCCCGTGGTCTGAGCCCGCTCCGTAGGGTTCAGTGCTCCATCGTAGGTTGTGGTCAAGTGCTGGGCCTTTTACAAATGCAAGGTCGATGGTTGTGGGCCTTTTCCCTCTGTCTCTGGGGAAATGCGTAAAGACGCCTGGTTCGTTCAGAAGGGTCAGTTTCTGTCGGGTTATCCATCGTTTTAACCGTGCACCGTTGACGCGGTCTGCTCGAATGTTGTTTCTGTATTCATGTGAATTCACTCCGTACCACATTTGATGGTGGCAGTTGAAGTCTCCCATTACTAAACAGTTATCTAGGGTTTGGATTGTACTTGCTATTTGGGCGAAGGGGCCACTTCGGCCTGGGGAGTATATATTTAGGATTTGGGTTTTCTTGGTCTGGATTTCTACCGTAATCGATACTATGAAATTATCGTGTGTGTAGTGGTGTTTTGGTTTGAGGTTGGCATGTTTGCGGACGTATGTTGCACATTTTGTATTGGTGTTGCTGGCCGTAAAAGTATAAAAGAGATTTGATTCTGGTGGGTATCCCTCTGCTGAGGTCCATGGTTCTTGTAATAATAGGAAATAAATACTAGAGTCTGTTTCCGCTTCTTCTACCGCCGCCTTGGTAATAAGTTCGCTCCGTGCACAATTGAGTTGGTGTGCGAGCGCGGTGGTTCGAGGCCTAAGCATTATTTGTCATGTGTTGGTCGTCTTCGGGAATGGGTGTGGATCCGACTGGGGCGGTGGCTGGTACTTGGACTATCGGAAGCAACTCTTGGACTGGTGCGGCCGGTGGTTCTTGAGTGGGTGGGGCGTTTTCCTTTCCTTTGTTGAGGAATCGGCGTTTGGTTCTTTCGGGGCATGCTGGGTCGGAGGCCTTATGGATTCCTTTACAGTTCAGACATCTGATTGGGGTGTGGGTGCATCTATATCCTCCCTGGCATTGATTGCATGGGTGGAAGCTGGTGAGATGATCTCCGGCACAATGACCGCATCTCCCATTGTTTTTGCATTTCTCCTGGCGGTGACCGTATTCGAGGCACTTCGCGCATTGGGTGTCTGGGAAGGTTGAGAGGAAGGCCTCGATGTGGCAGCTTCGGTTAAAGAGGGATAGGAACTTAACTCCTAGTGTTTCCATTGTAACTTGTCCTGGGAGCGCGATGACCATTGATGAGTGGGTTTTCTCCATTCGAGTCTCCGCTCTGGAGATCCAGCGGGGAACCTGGGCAAGTTGGAAGTTCTCTCCATAGTTGCTTCTAATTTCGGATGCTACCAGTTGTCCTGCCTCGACGCCTTCTCCGACCGTTGTGGGGATTCCGTGAATAAGGAACTTTGACCATTTGGAGTTTGCCCGGATGATGGCGACTGGTACTTGTAGGGTGAGGAGAGCCTCCTCAATTTCTTTGGCGTATTCCATTGCCTTTGTTGCTGGGGTGACAAACTTTGTTTCCAGGATAAAATTATCCTTGGGTGTTTTCCTTGCTGAAATGAAGTGGCAGGATTCGTCCTGAATTCTTGCATTGACTAGGGTCCTGATCTCGGAAGGATTGACGTCAGATGGGGCAGTGGTTTCAACAATGATTTCTCTGTTGATTTTGGTATATTCTGGCTTGAAGAGAGGGTCCGCTTTTGGCTTTGCGGACTTCTTTCTTCTCTCAACGACCTGGAAATTTCCTTGAGCAGGACCGGGTGCCGAGGCCACGGCGGCCCAGGTGCCTGCTTTCCATCCACGGGGTGGGGCTTGTTGGGGGGGTGCGGGTGGGGGGGCCTGAGGAGCTGCCTGAGGCGCTGCTTGGGGAACTGTTTGGGGGACCGCTGGAGGGGGCATTCTCTGTCCCTGCGGTTGTTGTGGTTTTCGCTGTTGTTGCTGTTGTTGCTGTTGTTGGTTTTGTTGTGGTTGCTGCGGTTGCTGCGGTTGTGGTTGTTTGTTGAGGAGAAGATGGATTGCCGAGTGCATACTGGTGATCATACTTGTCTGCGCCTCGATTTGGTGCTTCAGTGTGTCCACTGTTCTCCGGAGTGTAGTCGTTTGCTCTTCGAGGATTTCAATCCTGTCGGAGGGGGGGCAGATTCGGCTGGTGGCATGTCTAATGGCCCAGGTAATATAGTTCAGGTCCGTCTGGGTGTGAGTGTCCTGGGGGACAACGCTCGGGTAGAGGTAGTCAATTCTCGGTTGGTATGGGTCGTTGTAGTCGGATTCTGTCGCAAAGGTCGAGGAGAATTCTTGTTCCTGAGCTCCGGATGGGGTTGGGTCGGGAACCGGAGTATTCCTGTTCTGCGAAGGGGCTGTCCCTTGCTGGGAAGACTGGGTAAAAAAGGACTGTAGCGAGGCTTGTTGCGACATGATTGAATGTCCAGTTCTTCTGGCGGCGTAGAGTGATGTTTCGGAAAGGTTTCTTTTCCTTCCTTTCGGGAGGTCAAGGCTGGAGAATTCTTCGCTGGAAGCCAGTTTTCGTAGGTTTCTTTCGCTTGGAACAACAAAACGCGACCGTATGATCGGGGACAAAGTGGCTCGACCTGGTATGGTATACCAGGGTAAACCGAGGGGAATAAAATAAGATGTTTTTGAAGCGAGGTTTGTTATCAGGGAGTTCTTTGCGAGCCTTAGCGAGCAAGTAGAATACAGAAGAAGAAGA